TAAAAAAAAAAATAAAATTCTTTTTGTGAATATTATTTCTCCCAAAATTCTCACGAAATGACTACCAACCATGTGCATGCTTTAACCTGCACCTGGCACCATGCAGAAAAAGCAGCCCCTAATGGACTTGTTTGAAGCCAGGTTGATAAGGGCCCTGAGAAACCTGGTCTAGTGGAAGGTGTCCCTGCATGTGGCAAGGGGAGCCTGGAATTAAATTATCTTTATGAACCCTCCCAATGCAAATCAATTCTATGGTTCTATGATTCTATGACTTTGCTTTTGCACTCAACAAATTTACCCACTAAAACTACATTGTTCTGTCTGAATGTGTTGGGTTTTGTTTTTCCTTTGAAATAGATTTTTTGCTTCTTTCTGACAGAATTACATTTTTAAACATTCAGAAAGTCATTTCTTCAATACCAAAACAAGCAAAAGGTTCACACAAGGCACAGAGAACAACTTGATAGTTAAAGTTTGAAGTTAACTTTGCAATCTAGGACTCAGACAGAAGCAAAGTAGGAAAAAAATTAAAACAATATGTGAGATAGGAATCTTTAATCAACCTCGTTGTATCAGCCTGGGCCCAGCATTCCACCCCGTCTTCTGAGGTTACCCAGCACCACTTTGAAAATGGATTATTTTCCACTGAAAACAATGCCAAAAAGGGGCTTTAGCTCCCCTGGGGGAAATTAGAACAGCCTGGATCATCAAATGGGAAAAAATAATCATTATCAGGAGCAGTAAAAAACAGGGGGAAAGAAAAGGTGAAACTAAACTCAGATTTTGGACCACTTTATGCCTTAGAAGTGGCTTTGAAAACCAAGATGGATTGGCAAAAGCTTATGGGTTTGTGATGCAAAGCAACGTTTGCTTCCCTCGATATAGAGAAGCTCGTATGTTTTTTCAAGATGTGTGGTCCAGAAACGTACTTTTTGTAAACAGTCAATAGCTAGTCCCGGAGGATTTAAAGCACTGATACACTAGAAGTATTGTACCACTTCTCTTACTAGGTCAGAGGAATTACAAACACATATGAAAGATTTTATATGCATATATATAAACTTATACATGCCTACAGATCAGAAATACATTATATGGACTTAAGGCTTAATATATACATCTGTTTAACTTGGTGTCCCTTCTTGTGGGTAAAGAGAAATTTTCTAAGAGCTATCACCATTTACCTGCCAGTGATCCACCAAAGAGCTCCAGTGCCAGCTGCCAGCACAAACAAGTCCATTTAAAACCAGCCTAAATATATTTGCAATACAACACAAAAACTTAATTCCACCTGCAGGAGTAGTAACGTATAGATGGCAGAAACACTGAGAAAGCGGTAAAACATCATCTCCCAGGCACCGTGAAGTTGAAACATAAATACTGTTAAGGCATCATCCTTAACATGGCTTAACTGTTGAGTCAGTTAAGGCATCATCCTTGACAGGTTAGTTAAAAAAAAAAATAAATTAAGGAGCAATTCTGAAAGCATTGTTAACTAACATTCAACTGACTTCTAGTTTTGTCTTCTAAGAACCAAACCCTCTTTCATGAATGCCCCATGCTAGCACCAAATGCTAAAAGACAACTTGGTTGACACCAATATTTCCTATTTACATAATTTGTAGCTTATATAAGACGGTTAGAGCCTTGGCCCTGCCATAGCCCTCTTTTGCATGCCTGCAGCAGCTCACTGCTGACCTCAGTTATGTATTAAAGCTATCTGGAAGCCAACAGCATGTAACCATACACCCATAATTGAGTACATACTTGAATGCTTTGTCAAACAGGGAACCACTGATGAATTGTCCGTATAACTAATGATGAAATAGTAGTAATGTACATTTACATTGGGATTATGCTGCCAATGTTTTATGCCAGGGATGTATGAGCCACTGATGATTGGAAAGCAGTCTACAGGCAGCCTGTGAATGCCCACTGCCACACACTGGTGCGGTCACTTATGGGTGGACACAACTTGCAGAGAACCAGCAGTGGGCCTAAGTGGGCCTACTGGCATGTGCCAGTAATGCTCTTATCTCCACATAATATCATTAAAGAATGGTACTGCTACATCACACTTCCAATCTAGTGCCTATATAATACCAGTCTGCAACAAAAGGCTCTTTCTGTGCCACAGAAAACAAGCCAGCTAAGATTGACTTTCTTCCTGCTTTTCAGTTCTTCACCCTGACACAGCTGGTGCCTCTGAACTGGTACAATGACAACAGTGCCAGTGCAGTCACACCACTGGAATTCTAACTGCCTCCCTAATAACTTTATTCAGAGCAAACTTAAATAACAGCACTAAAATTATCAACAACTTCTGATAACCTATCAATGTAACATTCACTGATGTTCAGCGGGGTAAAACCGCAGCAGAATTAGCAATAGTAAGGAATACAATGGCAAAAATCTGGGGAGGCTTTCAGTAAATTGCTTAGAGTCCTTCTTTCACACAAATTTAAACTTTTATTTCCCAAATCTTTTTCCCATCCCTATACAGAAGTATAGCTGGGTGCATAAAGTGATCTTGGAGCTGGGTACCAAAATCACAGCTGTTGCAGTGCTGAGCATGCCAGCCCCCGAGGTGCTCTGCTGAAGCCCGTGTGATGCAACAATCCACTGCTCAAAGTGAGCAAGGGTGACAGAGCCAGCAGCCCCCTCCAAACAGAGCAGGGCAAGCAACAGAAGCAACAGTGAAGGAGCAAAACCACTACACATTTTGATAAAAAAAAAAGAAATATCATTGGAACAGATTCAACAAACTCCACTGCTAAGTATATTAAACGCAGTCAGAGCTCTTGAGAAGGCAAGAAACCATGTGTCACAGCTGTGGCAGCTGAATAGCTATATTGCTCCTGCATCCTATTAGAGGGATTTGTCCCAAGACTTAATTGGCAGTTTCACTATTCCTTTTTTGCTCAGCAATGTTAGCGTATTTTTCATCATTGCTGTGAAAAAGGCACCAGCAAAGCAGGGCTGAAAATCAGACTGTAGGTGCATTGGAAATTCCAGGGCTTCATTTTTCACAGAAAGTCAAAACCACCTTTAAGTGAATAAAGCAGCTGTCCCACCACACTGACAGTAAGCCTGCCATACCTTTGGTTAACTTCTGGCACACAGACAGGGACTTAGATCTCCTCCAAGACAGTTGAAGAATAATGAAAAAGCAACTTTGATGCTACCTGAAACCAAACTATTCAAAGCACATTGCCTGCATTCCTCAGCTGCAGGCACTGAGCCAGGACATGGAGATAATCATTCAGGCTGGCAGTGGGGGAGGGAGAAAGGAGCTTAAGGACCCAAGAGCTGAAGTACTCAGAGCAAGAAAATCTAGAAAGAATTTAATCTGCAAGGTAGCAATACAGTCATGTTTCTCTCCCATTCCACTCCCATTATGTGCTTTAGAGAATTAAAATAGTCACAGACATAGAAGTATTTTTGTTCCTTTTTTGCTCTTTTATCTGTTCCATAGAAAATGTAGATCTCTATGAAGCAAATGGTTTCTCTCTCATCTCACACTGCTTTTCCAGCTGTGGCAACATCCCCTGTTTCAGAAGGAAAAATGGCTCAGAGTAATGCCTAGACAACAGTGGAACATTTTACAGTGAAGGAAGAGTTTCTCCTTATCTTTTCCCAATCATGAAACCTGCCCTTTAAGCCTGAGATTTGATGACCATAATTAACTTACTTTTACTTATCTACTATGTTGACCCAAGATAAATCAGTTCTTTCAATACTGCAGCACCTGTTCTTTGACCTGACAATCTGCTGCAGCAGTGAAGTTTGCACATTGTAGAAAAAAACTGTAGTTAAAAAAGGACCCTTGGGACACCAAGCTCTTCCTCCTTGTGTTATGAGAGTTATCAGAGTTAAAGAGGAGAACAGCAGCTGCTCCATGTCACTACAGTACCCAACAGCAACTTTGTGTGACTCAGACACTTGAAACATTCCCAGAAATTTCTTAGTAACTATAGCTACAGATTCAGCTCCACCAATTACAGCAACTTTTGAGTTGTAAACAACTACCATACTCTGTTCTAGCTATTGTGTCATACATAGCTACCTATGTACAGGTCTGCATGGTAAGAGCAGGAGCAGCCCCTGGCAGGCCGTAATAAGCTTCCTAAAGCTTCTTAAGAGCCAACAGGCTGGAGAATGGTATATTTGTGGGTTTACCTATCCTATGGCCTCTCAAGATGGCATGTCAGTAGAATCTGTGTTCTGCTTGCTTTTCAAATTCCAGCAAAGATGGCCTTAAAGGTAGACTGTGCACTATGTAAATCACTATTCTACTGGAGAAGACCTCTCCAAGCCGCACATATTCCAGCTTTCAGCTTTTGTCTCAATATGTGGGGACCAACAAAGAATACCTTGCAGGCAGGTACCAGACTTTGCCTTCCAGGGCTCTCCAGGCAAAAGAAGACTTGAAATTAGGAAACATTTCTTTGCTGAGAGGGTGGAAAAACACTGGAAGAGGCTTACTGGAGAGGTGGGCAAAGTCCCAAACCTGTCAGTGTTTCAGAAGTATTTGGACAATGACCTTCATAGAGTGAAGGTGTTGGGCATTTGGCCTAGATGATTGCTGTAGGTAACTTCCAACTGAACTAGTGTATTCTAGTTTAAGAAGGAGTCACTCTGAACTGTCCTCTCCCAGTGCTCAGCAGAGCTGAGCAGTGCAGAATGGTGAGTAGAACGGTTCCAAAGAATGCCTTGGGAACTGCAACTACAGAACCAATAAATTTTCTCCACGGTCAAATGCAATGGCAGCACAGACAGTAATGAGGACATCTTTGCTTTTAAGAGCAGAGTATGTGCTGACAAAAGAGTATAAAAAGAGTAGAAAAGAAGTAACAGCTCGGTGTGATCTGGTTTCCACGCAGAATATTATGGAATGTTTTAGAGCCTAACACACAGTCTATTTATACCCTAAAAGCATAAAAAAAATGCATTAAAAGAACACCAAAACCATATAAGATGAGAATATTTGAGAGTCTTACCTTTGAGCCAATAAGTGTGTACAGCCATTGGATGGTTTCATTATGATTTATCACTCCATTCATGCCATCGACATAAAGCATTATCTGGCCCAAAGCTATTGCAAAGAAAAGAGAGAAAATGTAATTAGAGCTGGTGAACACTTTTTATAATTCTAAGCATTGCTGACAATTTTCGCTGAGCAAGGGTTACCAGAGATGTGCGGAACTCAACTAATGAAAGATATATTGGGCAAGATTGTGCTGAATAAAATCCTGGGAAACTGCACTGACTTTACTGACTTAATCTGAAAATATATCTGTGAATTTCATCCTGAGACAAGCCCAAACACTCGTTCTTTCCTAGAAGATGCCATATTTTATGCTCCCCAAATCTGCAAACAGTACTCTACACACTGCTTACTGTCACAATGTACACAGCTACAGAGCTTTATTTATTGCGAGCCAAGACTTTCACCATTTGTTTCAGCACCATATATAACGTTCAGAATTAGTATATTTGGATTGACAGTTTCAGTGAATACCAGTGATATGAAATTAAAGCTGGACAATTAACATCAATAAAGACTATTCACTAACGCACAGTGCTCTCTTGAAAAAGTTTTACGTTTTACTGAGAAAATACAAAAAAACTGAAGCATGGTTACAAGTGTCTTTATTAATTTATCCTAAAGCTTTTACAACAGCATTACAAAATATACTAGTAAAATATTTCATAACAGTAATTGCATAGTTTGCAATTGTGATAATATGAGACTTTCAAGAGACAACAGCTATTAAATCTTTTCTGACTGATAAGGACAGACATTTTTTGTAAGGATTATGAAAAGTGAATTAGTTCAATTCATCTATCATCTTCAAAAGTTTCCACTGTTAGATCTTCTGCTGTATAGCAGGAGATCAAAGCACTGTGGGATGAAAAAGAAATCACTGATGTAACACCTTTTAGCACAGCCTGTTGGCATAAAACCTCAATTATTTAATGCACAGCCTGATGAGCCCCTAGTACACTGCTTTATGGGGGAAAAAAAGAAAAAAAAAACACTCAGAGGGTGAGAAAAATTATGACACTATTAATCTTCCAAACACATTCTGAACGTTTGCTAACTTTTACACAGGTTGTGTGCAGTGTCATTTACCCTGAGGGCAGATTTTCAAAGACATGAATGCTAGGCAAGCACTTATGTATCCCTATAGCGAAATAGCTAACAGTAATTTTTGCACCGTCTCCTCCTTTTCCCTTTGGTCTAGTTGGCTAATTTATGGTTAAAAACTTGAGGTACTATTTTTACATTCTTTATCTAAATTGTCATGCAAAGCTAGAAGGAAAGCCACACTCAGTGAATGCCACACAATCGATGAAGACTGAGAAAAAGCAAGCAAGAGAGCTCTGGCACAGAGATAACACATCGCCTAGGCAGGCACTGCCACTGGGGCATGCCAGGCACTCTCTGCTCCTCCTCTCCAGGAAGCAATCAGTCAGCACCCTCTGAAGACATGTCTCTCAGGTGAATAAAATCAGGTGGGAGGGACACAGGCCCAAGTGTTATGGTAAAATAGAAGATGTAAGTCAGCCAGTAAAAAGAGATACGAATGACACTGCCTGAATAAATGGCTGCTTTGAAGCATTTTGTTGCAGGTAGAGGAAATGCTACTATCCCAGCAGTAATCAGAGAAAGTTCTTAATTCTTGTTTTTACTTCCTTTCAATGCTAAAAAGATTTGGCACTGGATCAGGATGAGATCCAGTCATGATAAGGTCAACAAATCCATTTTTTCCCCTCTTGAAAATTCTTTGGTTGGGGATGAAGTGCTTTAATTGAATTTGAAACAAATGTGAAACAAATTAAAGTCTTGAAGCATGTTTTCCAAATTAATATAGAAATCAAAGACAGCAAAAAGTTTGCTTTAAAAAACATGTACACAATACAAAATGACTTCACAGCTTATACTTAAGACTAATTAGACAGGATGGCTAAGTGAGATCTGGCATGCATTTGTATTCAGCCTCTTAGATGTAACTCTTCTTAACAGCAATATGTTAAGGCAAATTAGTAGACTTTAGAAAGAAGCCAAAAAAACGTTTTAGGTATTCTTGAAAACACAAGAAAAAAAACACTCCCATAGCTGCTTGAACTAGTGGCCAATAAGTTTCACAAGTTTCATAAGGAATTACAAACAACGTCATGAAACAACCAAGATGTAGAGTTATGTGTCCACATCACATCTCCAGTAGTTATCTGCTACACATGAAGCTCTCAGCTGCTGACAAACCTCGGTGTAGACGTTCATATTGCTATTTCCTGTCCTCAGGGGTCAGCAAAATGAGACAAGATGGGTATGGTTGAGGAGAAATCTGTTTTCATTAAGAGGCAGACTAAGATAAGGAAAATCTGTATACTTTGTACAAAGCTGAAGCCCCATAACTTCTTAGGAAAAGAAGGCCAGAAGACCTAAAAGGAGGAGAATGATGGTTTTCATACCCCATCAAGTTTCTGTGCTGAGCAAGAAAATGTATTTCCTTTACCATAACCACACCACACAGCCAAAATGGAAGACACCACCAAAAAAAACAGTGTAGGAGCAGGCTAGAGGTCATTGGGCCCTCCCAGACCTTGGGTCTGGCTGAGTAAAACACAGCAGTTTGGCACTAAATGGAGACTGACAGAGGATATTTTACATTCTTTGAAGCTTTTCTACCCAACTGCTATCTCACCTCCCAGCCCACAACCGTACTCTGCTGAAATGACTACGGCTGAAGTGCAAGCTCCATGCACCAAGCATGCCCACACATCCGCCACCAACATCCAGGGCCCCGACAAGGGAGGGCAGCCTGATCTGCAAGGCAGTTTGGAAGGCCAATCTAGTCCAAAATAATTTAAATTCACATTTTCATGTGCCATTAACCAAACTTTTTTTTTTTATTTTCTCTTTACCAAAAGATGAGGAGGATATTTAATCCATTTAATCTCATCCCTCAGCTAACTGGAATTCTTCTTGGAAGTATATCAACAACCTACTTGTATTAGGAAAGTTTACTATTGTGCAACAAGGGGCTGGGAGAGGGGAGTTTAAATACGAAGCAGACCTAATTTGGAGTTTCTTTGTTCCTACCCTTGTCAAACCCTTAATCTTTGAAAGTAGTGTGTGACTTTACCCATAGCTATTTTTGAGTGGAAAGTTGCTGGATTTCTTAGGAAAGGCTTAGGCTAGAAAAGGACAGAGCAGCCAGAAAACTCAGAGATTTCTGTGAAATAAGAGGTTTAAGAAAGCCTCTAAAAACTTGCCAATATTGGCACTGATACTCTCCTGGGATATAATGTTTACAGGACCAAAGAGGAAAAGCTCTTGCAAAAAACATCATCACAATGAACATCACCTTAACTTAAAGTCTCTTTATCCCACCCAGACGGGAAAAAGTTTCAAAGCTGCTCCTTGGCCACATACGCACCTGCTTCTCTACTGTGCTCTGCTTCCATTTTACCACAAGACTGACAGAGAAAACAAAATCACTGAACAAACAGAAAACATGTTTTTTTACAATTTCCCAAGAGTGAAACCCCTACTCATCATGTCCAGAATTACAGCAGGGATGCATCTTGTGATTGCAGCTGTTTCCATCAGAACAAGCAAATGTACAGCGTGAAGCAGGCCAAAGACAGACCTTGTCAGTGCAGGTTTCAGTTCCCAAGAAAGCTTCTGGCCCAAGTTCGTCAGGCAGTTCATACCCAGCAGCTGTGGTGCATGTCATGTGCTGCATACTACTACAGGCAGGTGTGCACAACAGACAGAAGGGTGATGAAATTAATGGGGAAGAAGAACCAGCTGCTAAAATTCATATTTTCATTGCTAGCTAAAATCTTATCATCATCAGTGAGAAATCAAGGGTCTGTGTGATTGCATTAATTCCATTTGAAAACTGACTGCTAGTTTGGGTATGCTATCCTGGGCACCAAAAAGGCCTACTCCATCAAAGCAAACATCCTGATGAAGCAAAACTCCATCTATGTCTAGTGAGGGATCCCAGGAAGGAGATAATACAGTTACCTAATATACTACTACAAAGCTACTACTATACCACTACTACTTGGTAGTAATTCTGAAGAAAACAACCATACTTCAAACTTCTTTCTTGGTGTTTCCTCATTAGAGAGAGGCAAGATCCCAGCTACCAAGTGGCACCATCTTGAACACAAAATCTCCAACTCAGCTCAGCTTCCATATGCTGGATGTCAGAAGCTGCTACTTTTGCTTGTAGCACCCTATCATGCTTGCATGCACACCCTCCGATCAGAGCTTATTGCCTCTATAAAATCCAAGGATACTTAATTTTCCTGATGATAAATCATTATTAAATACAACTTCTGTACCATCCAGCTACTTGAAAATCAGCAAAATCACATCAGAGCTCTCCTTCTTCTAAGAGAGGACATCAGATAAAACAGATGACCCAGACTCTCCACTGCTTCTGAAAATGATCTTACAAAGCAACACTGTGGCAAACCTAATGACTGACACTCAGTCCACATCACTAGAACCACCTACAATTTGTATGTTTGGGGGTTGGTTTTGGTTTTTTCCTGTTACTATTTGTATGGGTTGGTTTTAGCTTCGGTGAAAAATCTGCTATTTATAGAGCTATTCCCATTTCTTTACTATTGTTGACCCTATATGTAATGTCATCCAGAAGCCAAAAACAATCTTGTTCCTGGCCACAAGTACATGAATATTTTGTTTGCTATCAAATATTTTTAAATCCCAACTCTTTTAATTTTGCATTTTTGCCCTCTGTTCATTTGTTCTTTCTATTGTAACACACATCATGGTTGAAACAGGCTAAGGAATTAATTTTCAGAACTTCCATATTAACCATGGGCTGAACTTCTATTACACAAGAACTGAACTATCTCAGAAAAATCACACTGAAGAAATAATGCTATGAACCAAAGATGCAAAACCAGTTCTGAACAGATGTCAATGCATTAAGTTGCAGTTATACTTCAGAAGTTCTTATGCTGGTCAACACTACTTTAAACTTGAACTTTTTGTGTTCTGCACTTTGGAAACTTCTGCAAGCTAGTTTCAGACCTAAAGTATTA